GCACCAACGGGCCTGAAATGCGAGACAAAGACTTTGGCCTCCTAGGCGGTGAGTCTGACATAACGGCACTCCTGGACCGCTTAGGCTGACACATAGGCTGCGTACTCAAACTACCACTACTTGTGGTGGTGGTATTGGTGGTGGTGATGGTTGCTGACTGACCCTCCCTCACTTTACTAGTGGATGAAGGTTTAGGAGGATCCATTTAGAATTTTAAAATAGTAAGAAAAGAAAAGAAGTTGAAGAAAAGAAAAGAAAGAGATATTGTAATGTATGTAGTGTTTTCAAACTAACGTTTATATTTTTATTAAAAAGGATTATTTGAAGTTTGGAGCTATGCTAATATTTAGATCAGCACAGTTAAAAAAAAAAATAGAGACTAGTACTGAGGCAGATTTCTTCACTCTAGTGCTTTTTGAGGAACTATGGAAAACTGCACTGTCTGGCGTGAGCAATCTGCCAACAAGTGCTTCCTGCTCGACTACAGCAGTGCAAGCAGAGTATGAAAAAATTTACTAATATTAGAAAAATAAAATAATAAAAGATTTACTACAGCTACTTTGAAGCTTAAGTTAGGACAGTCTCACAGTCAATCTATCAGGAACTAAAATAAACCAAATAAAAACAGCAACCAGTTAGCTTCACTGATTGCTGTTAAACAAACACACTAACTGAACTAATAAAAATCAGTTATTGAAAAAAGAAATTTCTTCACAACAGCAGTCAGAACAGTTAACTTCACTGCTGATGCTGATGTGAGCACAAAAAAATGACACTAAAAGTGTGAAAAATGTAAAACAAAAAATAGACTTTTTGACTAATGTGCTCTGTTCTAACAAAGCACACAGAGACTGTACTACAACAAATATATTTTAAACTGAAGATAATTTTATCAACTTAAAAAAAATATTTTAATTAAAACTGAAGATAATACTATTAACTGAATAAAAAAATATTTCTTTACTTTTACACTGACTGCCTGCAAAGCCAGCAAACAGTCAGTGAGTGAGTGACACAAAAAAAACCTCAGTCGGTCAGTCACTGTGACTCTGTGCTAGTTGTTTTACTAGCACAGATTAAACTAACTCTGTGTGGACTGGAGTATAGATTCACTTAAAAAAAGAATTTAAAACCCAGTCAAACACACTCAGCTGAGACTGACAGAAGATTAACTTTCTCTAACAGCACTGCAGAAACAGCAGCACCACTGTAAAATCAATTTGACAAAAAACAACTATTCAACATTGCTGCTAAAAGACTCAACAGCTAAACTAGATTAAGATTTATTTTCTTCTAGGCTAGCAAGCTAACAAGCTAGTATACCCCTAGGGCAGAAGCCCTCAGGCCCACTAAGCTAAAGACTGATTCCACCTTTACTCTAAATCTAAATAAATTTAAGCTAATTATTTTTTATTAAATAAAAAGATTTTTTTTTTAAAAGTAATAACTGGTTGCTGTAGTCAGTAAGCAAGCAGGGAAGGCAGGCACTGGCAGTGCCAGCCAGGCACCGTGTGGCACACTGACTCAGTCAGCAGCACAGCAGTGCACATCATTCAAAAAGCATTCAAAAAGCACTAAAATTAAAAAAAATATTCTCAGGAATAGTCTCTCAAATTCAACAAGTGAGAACTGGCAGGCACACCAAAACTCACAGAAAATCTCTAAGACAAGTAATGAGGCTAACACAGCACAGAAGCACAGTGTGTCACCAACAAAACTCAGTCAAAGAAGGGGGGAGAAAGTTCCACTGCCTGCTTTTATACTGCTGTTTAGTTATTTTTTAAATCCATGATAAAGCACTCACCATTGGATAAGCCCCTACAGCATCATATCAAAGGAGTGAGCAGATAAGATAAATGAAAATCAGCTCACTCCCATACCCCTCCTCTTTGATTCATACAAGGCATCCGAATGAACTGAACTTAGGCATAATGTAATTGTAATTAAATTTTAAACACATGAATACAAGTATATCACTATGAAAGAAACGAGTGTTCGTATAGCCAAAATGCTTAAGTTTGAAGTTGCAACTTGCCGAAGGGTATTTTTTCGACAGCTTTTTTTGGAACGCTGTGTCAGTACGTCAGAACGTAACATTTTTGTTTGTTTTTACATGTTGTGCATGTTGTCATCAGTGTTGTACCTGTCTTAAAATATAATACAAGTTTAAAATATTAAATTGAGTAAATAGTTATAAATACTACGAGAATAAAAACAAGAAGTCAGGAAGGCCCTGTGGTCAAAGATGTACAGAGAGCGGAAGAAAATAGTGTTTATTGTAGATGAGATTGATCTAGTTAGATCATTTGGCCGTAATCAGTTTAAATTTGCGTCTGAAGTTGCATCTGATGGACAGGAATAAGCCTCCTGAATTCCAATGTCAGTAGGAGGTGATTTCAGAACCCTTCAAGCTAGCACCAGTGGAAGCCATGCAGGAGGTTAGAAGAGGAGCCTACAGCCCACAGTCTAGAGGACTGTGCCAGCCTAATCCCACTGGCCCCAGTGGAGCCACACTACAGCAGAAAATGGTAATTAAAAA